TCCAATTCGTGCTGAACAATGGGGGGGGGGGTAAAAAGCAATAAAACAGACCAAATTCTACAATTGCTGTTTAACATTTAGGGTTATATGGTAGAGAGGTTTAGGGTTTAGGGTTTATGGTTTGGGGTTTAGGGTTTAGGGTTTAGGGTTTGAGAAGGGCATAAAGTACCTGATCCCCTAATTCCCTGCAAGTTCCCTCCAAGCTCTAGAAAGCACACCCTTTAAAAAAATCGTGCCTAGACCTGATTCCCCAAAAGAACCACACCAAAAACCAAACCCTGAAACATAAACCCTAAACCCTAAACCCCAAATCCTACACCTTAAACCCTAAACCCTAAACCCTAAACCCTAAACCCTAAACCCTAAACCCTAAACCCTAAACCCTAAACCCTAAACCCTACACTTCGAAGCCAAGGCTCCGAACCAGTGCGCAACCAGCCTGCGACGCCGTTCGGCACGCGCGGCTTGCGATGAAAATGCCTTGGTCTTGCTGGATCTTCGTAGGGAGCTTGGGAGGTGCGCACCCTCTGCATTCCCCAAAAGAGTCCCTAAACCCTAAACCCTGAACCCTAAACCCTAAAACCCTAAAACCCTAAACCCTAAACCCTAAACCCTAAACCCTAAACCCGAAACGTTCCCTACGAAGAACTCGCAAGTTGGGGCTCGAAGCCTATGGCAGCAGGGACTTCGAGTCGAGGGTGTTCGCAGGCCATTTGTGGGTTCGGGGGCTTAGTAAACCAAGGCTTCAACGGTTTAGGGTTTAGGGTTTAGGGTTTAGGGTTTAGGGTTTAGGGTTCAGGGTTCAGGGTTCAGGGTTTAGGGTTTAGGGTTTAGGGTTTAAGGTTTAGGGTTTAGGGTTTAGGGTTTAGGGTTTAGGGCAACCCCAAGTAGACCCCAGTTCGGCCCGAAACCTCTCCGAGCCTTCCTCCGGCTCCTCGCTGGAAACGAAATTAGGGGGTTGAAGGGATTATGATGCCTTTTCGGGCCTATGGTTCAAACAACCTTAAACACCCCAAAGCTCAAAGCCCCTATCCGTTGAGGAACTGAAGCTAGCTTGTCATAAGAAGAAAAGCCCCATGGTTTGCCATAAACCCCTCATGCGAAGTCAAAACAACTATCCCCTGAGCCCACAGAAGGCGTATCGTTCCTTCAAGACTTTCGGATCCGTTCAGGTCCTGCACTTGGAGCTTGAATGGTACCAAAGGTTCAGGGTTTAGTGGTTAAGGGTTTTTGAGGCTGCTCAAGTTGAAAGAGCCTGTCAGGTGTCGGGGGGGTCTCAGACTCAGACTCGCTTGTAAGGCTCACATGGGCAGTTTTACATAAGGTTCCCCAGCCAGGGATTTTTAGCCCGACCCCTACTTGTATCCCCCCTATACGTACTTTCCAAACCTTGAATGAACAAACAGCCCAAGAGCAGAGACAGGACCATGCGCAGCAGATCGGCAAGAACGACGCCTTTCGAAGCCAAATGGGTGGGAGGGATCCCTGTGTCGTTCAGGGGCGGGTTTAGGGTGCAAGGGTTTGAGGCTTAGGGCCTCGGGGTTGGGGGGCTCACGGTTCAAGGGCTGAGGGGTTTAGAGGTTTTCTGCATTTTAGGGGCTAGGGAGTACGGGTTTAAGGATACTTTCGGCATGGAGCCTCTGCAACATGCCAGTGGAGGTACCAGTGGGCCTGGCCCCTTATGAAAACCAGACCAGAACCTCAAAGCAAATCCAAAAGTCTGAGGAAGTACTCAACACAAACCAACCAAACCCTAACATCCTCAACCCTAAAACCCTAAACCCTAAACCCTAAACCCTAAACCCTAAACCCTAAACCCTAAACCCTAAACCCTAAACCCTAAACCCTAAACCCACACACATCCGCGAGCCTGCAGCACATACTCCGCCTGCTGGGACCCGACGATGCAGGAGATGCCGAGGTCAGCGACATTCATCAGCCTTTGGGGGTTTGGGGTTTGGGGTTTAGGGTTTGGGGTTTAGGGTTTAGGGTTTAGGGTTTAGGGTTTAGGGCTTAGGGCTTAGGGCTTCGGGCTTAGGATTTTAAGGATTTTTAAGGGGCGTTGAAAGTTTTGGGTTTAGGGCTTTTAAGGGCTTTTAGGGTTTGGGGTTTAGGGCTTAGGGCTTACAAAGGCTCTTTGGCACGGCACAACGGGCCCTTCAGCCCTAAACCCTTGCACCCAAAACCTAGACACTGAAAAGTGAAGCCTGAGCCCGTACACACTAAGCCTTATAAAGTCCTGAAGCTGAAAGGGGGGCGTGTACTCTGAACCCTACACCCGGAACGCGAGAGCCTTCTGACAAGGTTTACCTCGGGAGACAAGACAGGGAGAGAGAGAGAGAGAAAGAGAGAGAGAAAGAGAGAATCCTTTCGGTTCAATGGGGTTAGGATTTAAGGCTTCGGCTCAAAAGACAGGTGATGGACGGGCTCTGTTTGCATCAGTGGCGGCTGGGTACTGGGGCCTTCCTGTGAGCGTTCGTGTGGCTCAGGATTTGGAGGCTTCATAAAGGAACCTACATATCCTTGAACAGCCGCCCAAGAGACAAGCATATTTCTGGGTTTAGCACCCCTGCGACAAATCACACTTTGCCCCGGATGTACTGTATAGTCATTTTCCATGGTGCCCGCTGTGGTGTGAAAAAAGGCCGTGCGGTTCAGGGCTTGGGGCTGAAGAAGATGCATGGGGGAAGGCTCCCAGTTACAGCCCGAATAAGCTCAGCAGAGCGTACACAATGAGTGGTTTCGGTGGGGCACGTTTCTGCAACACTCGGGAGTTTGGGAGGGTCATGCAACGCAAACACCAGTCAAGATCCAAGATCAGGAAGAAAGCCATAAGCGCGTGGTTTTGAATCTGGCTGAGCGGCATGAGAGAGAGGATAAAGTCCGTCTGACTTGATGGCCAATCCACACTGATCTGCCGAATGATAGCGAACACCTGCCTGAGCGAACGGGGGCGAGGGCATGGGATTTAGGGAGCTTCTCGGGTTCAGTGCTTTTAGGGTGGGCCAAACTCAACACTTCTTATCCTCAACCGAAAGACATCGAAGTTCTGCCATCCCTTGACCGGTTGATGTCGGTTACGCGCCCTGCGATGTAAGCTCCACATCCAAGATTCTGGTTTGGGTACCCAAACTTGCGGGTCTGGACTCGACTCCTCACATATTCCTGGCATTTGAAGGGTTCATCAATGGGCTCCCTCAAAACCCTCCACAAGGGGCGGGGGGGGGGGGGGGGGGCCAGGGCAGGGTAGCTTCGCATCGAAAAACCCAGACCCTAAACCCAAAACATTGTCAAAACCCTAGATCCCAACTTCCTAAACCCTGAACCCCTTTAGACCCTAAACTCTAAACCCTACAAACTACACCCTAAAAGGGGGTTAGGGTCAAGCTGCAGGCTCTGCAGCGCGATGAAGGTGAGCTCCTGGATGGTGAACTGGAGATCCCGCACCACACTCCTTGGAAACCAAAGGGCTCCAAAAAATGAAAATTTAGGGACATTGAGGGTTGAGGGTTCAGGGTTTAGGGCTTGGGGGGCTCCAGGACTTGGGGCTGGTTGTTGAGCTCCAGCTTCCCTTGAACCCCACCAAGCCAGAACTCAACGCCGTCAGGGAAGGATCAAAGTGAAAGGAACGAGTGATGGGGCTTTGAACGGTTTCGGCACAACCCTAACACGTAGAGCTGCCCCGCCCCCCCGCCCCGGCCTCCACCCCCCGCCCTACACGCCTAACACCCTAATACCCTTAAACCCCAAACTCTTACACCCTTCCACTTATGCCCCTACACCCTTGCACAGTAAAACCTCCAGAACCTCAAACCTTCAACCGCCAAAACCCGAAACCCGACCTCCCCTTCCAGGCCCAGGGGCACTGCGGGCTCTGGACGGCGGTACCCAGCAAAAGGCAGGGCCAGAAGGATGCCAATCGCAGCCTACGTGAAGGTTCAACTGGGTGCTTATGTCAGGGTAAGAGTGTCTGTTTGGGGCGCGTTTGTTTTTGCTTCGGGTGCGGGGGGGGCACTTGGGAAGGATTCAATGCTTTGCACAGTTTAAAAGAGCGGGGTGTTGGAGGGGGGGTTGGAGGGGGGGGGTTGGAGGGAGGGGTGGGGGGGGGGGAGGGGGGGGGGGGAGGAAATTACAAAACAGGAGGTGAAGGAAAGAGGGTGGGGGGGGGGGGGGGGGCGCTCTTTTTTGCTGCGGGCGGGGGGGCGCCTTTTTTTTTTGCTGCGGGTGCGGGGGCGACACGCGCCAAGTCACTCACTCACCGGGGTGGCCCCCGAAAAAAGCACCCACTGTAAAAAAACACCCACAACAAAAAAGACACGGGTTGCCTTATATGAGTAGGGGTTCAGGGTTTAGGGCTTGGGGTTTAGGGTTTAGGGTTTAGGGTTTGGGGTTAGGGTTGAGGGTTTGGGGTTTAGGGCTTAGGGTTTTGGAGGTGGGGTTCGGCTCCCCCGGTCTCCCATCACCCCAAACCCTAACCCCCTAAACCCCAAACCCCCAAACCCAAACCCTAAACCCTAAACCCTAAACTGGGGGGCGGAAGCTCTTGGTATCGCTTCAGATGCCAGGGCGCGACGGCCCAGACGACAATCAACCATGCCTCGCAGATGCGCCACAGGGTTGAGGGCGACTCGGGTTTGGGGTCTGGGGCTTAGGGTTTGGGGGGTTGGGGTTGAGGGTTTAAGGGTTTAAGGGTTTGTGCGTTTGAGGTTTAGGGTTTAAGGGTTTAAGGGTTTAAGGGTGTGGGGTTGAGGTTTAGGGGGGTGTAGGTTTTAGGGTTTAGGGTTGATGCGACATGAAAACCCCTCTTTCTTGGGCGGCAGGACGTTCTTAGCGAAGCATAAACTAGATCCCCCCCGCCCAAGTCTGCAAATAACAACCCTGCACCCCGACAACCCTTACAGACACCATGAATCCGACAAGAACCCTGAGCCTCAAGCCCCAAACCCCCACCCCCCCACCCTTTCCCCCCCTTTTTCAAAAAAGACAAGCGCCGCTCCTAACTAAACCCAAAATGAAGGCTGGACGGACATACGTCGTTTTGCGACAAAGCGCGACGTGCGCCAAGGCAGTCCAGTCCGCCGAAAACCGGGGACGGCGCGGGGGGGGCGCATTCTGCACCCGCCCGACGCCCCCGGGGGGCGGCTGGCGCCAGGGTGGAAGAGGGTGGGAGCTGAAATCAGGCGGCTTGCAACGAACGGCTGCGTCGTTCGTCGCATGCTTGTCCTAACGCACATGAATAGTGCTACACGACAAGCGCCGCTCCTAACTAAACCCAAAATGAAGGCTGGACGGACATACGTCGTTTTGCGACAAAGCGCGACGTGCGCCAAGGCAGTCCAGTCCGCCGAAAACCGGGGACGGCGCGGGGGGGCGCACCCCCTTTCTCCGCTACGCGCCGGCACCGAAAACCCAGTCAGAAGACACCGATGCGAGCGCCGATGCCGCTTCGTCGGTGGCGAACTCGAGGTCGTCGGCGGCACGCAGGAGGATGTCCAGGATGTCGTCGACGGGAAGGACCAGCCCTCCGCCGAAGCCTGGCGAAGATCGTCTCTGGACACAGCGTCGGAGACATTGGCCTTCGACGGAACGCGGACAAACTCTGGGAACCAGCAATGACGCGCCGCCGAGGCCCAGAAGGCGGATAGGACGCCGTTGACGGCGTCGTCCTTCCCATACCCCTTGAGGAGCGCCCACTGCCCGGCGGCGTTGTCTATGTACGCCGTCCAGAAGCTGGGCAGACGTTCGCCGAACGCCAGCAACGGCAGGAGTTGAGCGACGATCTCAAGGACGTAGATGAAAGCCTTCCTCGACGCGAAGCGCCGGAGGAACCACGCCGGGACGACGCCTCTGCTGTAGAAGACCTCGTCGTCGATGACCAGCACAAAGCCCCAGCCGTTGGTCCAGCGGTCCGTCGGGCGCGCCTGCGCCGACCGTGGCACAAACCCTGCTTTGTGCACCACGTCGCCTTCCTGGAAGAACGCGTCGGCGTAGAGGACGGCTCGTCGCGATGCGGACGGCTGGAAGGGGGCTGCACCCGTCGTAGGATGCCTCGTAGCGCCATCAGCGCCGCGCGAAGACCCGCTGACAGTCTGTCGTCGGAGGCCGCCGCTGCATCCGCCGACCTGGCGTAAATGGGCTTGAGAGCGGCCTTCCCCAGGGCGCCGAAGATGGCCTGCGTGAGGAAGGCCAGCTTGCCAGCCAGGCGGTGGGCGACGTGCGGCGCCAGCTGGTCCGACGACAGCGCCTCTTCGATGGCGAACAGGAGCTTCTGCCGACGCCGTTCCGTCGGAGAGAGCCGAACCCCCTGCGACGTGACCGAGAACATGACGCCCTGGACTGTGCGCCTTGGACGCCTTCGTCTTGAGGCCCAGAAGGGAAAAGACGTCGGAGAAGGCGTCGTGGGCGTCCTGGGCGGCCTCGGGGAAGTCCAGGGCGTTGAAGTCGTCGACATAGTGCCCCACCGCCAGGAGCAGGAGGTGGCGCAAAAGCACCTGGAGGGCGTCTCCGGCGCGGTTGAAGTTCCAGACCGACGCCGCAGGCGCGGAAGCACATGGCGAGGTGGAACCACAGCGTCACGCCGTGCTCCGTGGCCAAGAAGGTTCCCGAATGCGCCGGGTGCTTAACCGCCCACTGTCTGTACGCCGAGAGGAGGTCATGACCCAGGACCAACGGCGTGACCCCCAGATGCGCGAAGCGACGCGCCAGGTCGACGAAGTCACCGACGAAGTGGTGCGTCGGGACGTCGGTAGCCTTGACCGTGCTGTTGTGCCCTGACCGCCGCCAGTCCTTGCCTCGTCGGAGCTTCTCGTCGCCGTTCTCATCGACCTGGATGATGGGGAAGGACGCCGCGACGAAGATGTCGTGGTCCGGCGGCTCGACGAGCGTCGTCATGTCCTTGATGTGGGGCAGTGCCACGGTCCTGATCGGCCAGTCCGCCGGGGCCCGGGCCGGGCCGATGACCCGGCCCAAACGGCGCTCCTCGACGAGCTCGGCCAGGAGGGCGTCGGAGTGGGCGCCGGGCCTGGCTGTGGGAAGCCTCTTGAGCAGGTAGCGCCGGTTCGCCGACCTGAGCTCCTGCATGGTGGCCGGGTTGGAGTACCTGTCGTCGTCTCTGGGCTTCCAACCCGGCCCGGGCTTGATCTCGCCGAGCATGTCGAAGCCGTCGGCAAGGTCGTCGGCGAGGGACTTCACGTCGGGGTAGCCGGCGTCCCGGGAGGAGGTGGAGCAGCAGCGGCACCTGCGTCGGCCTATCCCTGTCCGGGGCAGAGAACGTCGACCGGACTGGGAATGGGCGACGCGCCAACCACTCCTTGGTCGTGTCCTCCATGTCGTCGACCATGATCTTGAGCTCCTGGACCACTCCCCGTCGTATGCGCCGTAGGTCGTGGCGCCACATGTTCGCCACCTTGAGCACCCATTCTAGGGCGGGCTCCAGGGCTGGCGGCGTCGTCAGGGCGTGCCTCGCCGCCATAGTCATCCGCCAGTGATCGGCCTCCGAGATGGTCTCGTCGACGGCGGCGGGCCTGGCTCTGGGCGGGGGGTCCATAGGCCAGAGGGCGGAGTCACGGAGGGCCTGGAGCCACTGCAGCGTCGACGACGAAGGCGGCCCCACTGGTGGGTTCCTCGCCTCTGTCCGACCGAGCGACGCCGCCACGACGAGGATGGAGAGGAGGCGGGACGCGCCAGTGCCAGCCGTTCCCCACGAGACGGTGGCGCACCCTGTCGTCGTGGCCCGCCGTGTAGTCCTTGGGCAGGTGGTGGAGAGCCTCCTTGACCGCCGGCGGGGGGACGACGAGGCGCCCGGCTTCGTCGGACATCATCGCCTCCTGCCTGTAGTGCCAGGGCGCAAATTGGCGTCGATCGGAGCCAACGGTCCCTGACGTCGTCGGCCACTCTGCCCCTGCAGGACTTCGGGGCCGGGCGGCCGTTCTCGTCTTCCGCCGGCGTCGTGGCGCAAGGTAGGAGAACCCGACCCGCCCTGACGGCGTCGTCGAAGCGAAGGGAGCCGACGTTGAGGTCATCCTCCGCCGCTCTATGGGCGCCGATGCGGAGCTTGCGCCAGCCCTCCTTGAGGGACCAGCGGAGCGCCTCCCCAGAGAGGGGATGCGTCGAGAACTGGGACCAGTCGATCGTCGCCCACCACAGCCTGGGCCTGGATATCCAACCGAAGTCGGACCCGCAGGCCAGGACTGGCTGCACCTGCAGCCGCTGGGATACCACGTCGGCGTCGGACTTCTTCATGACGACATTCTCCCAGAGGGACACGACGGTGAACTCGTGGAGCTCCTGGACGAGGTCGTCGTAGAAGTCCAGGGCGACGGAGAAGAGGCCGCCGCGATCGCCGTCGTGGCCCCGGCCTGCGGCGACCCGGGAGAAGTCCTGGCAGGGCGGCGCCGCCGCCCAGAGCACTATGGCCTTCGCCTCCGCCGCACGGCGCGGGCGACGTCGCCCGCTGAGTCCTTGATGATGTCGCCCCTGTGCTGGAGCCAAGGCATGTGTTTCGTCGAGAGGTCGACGCAAACTGGGTCCGTCTCCCACGCCATTGCCAACAGGGGCTCGCCGAACTCCTTCGACACGAGCCAAGGGGCCGCCCCCACCCCGTCGAACGCCGAGAGGATGATGATTCCCCTGCCAGGGGGGCGCCGGTGTGATAGCCTGATCTTCTTGTGCGGCGGGTCGGGCACCTAGCGCCTGGCGCCGGAGCCCTTCTTGGGCTGGGATTCCTGCGCCTCTCTGCCCCACTGCTGGCCGCCGGAGCTCGACCAGGAGTTCCAGGAGCCCCAGTCGTCGCGGCGCTGGCCGGAGGAGCCGCCTCGACGGTCGTCGTTCCATGAGGGCCAAGCGTCGTCAGTCGACCACCGCCTTTGGGCTTCCTGCCCCTCCCCCCCCGGCGGCGGCCGGCGCCTTTGGTCGGCTGCTCCGCGTCGTCAGTGGTCTCGGCGACGGCGGCGTGGTCAGGGTTGGGGCGGCGAGGCAGCTGTTTCGGCGGCCGCGCCATGACCTCATAGAAGAGGGCGTGGTCCTCCATAATCGCCTTGGACGCCTCGCCGAAGGACTTGCCGAGGCGGAGGTCCATCGCCAGCGTCCAGCCGATCGCCGACCAAAAATCGACGACCTGCTCGATCATGGGGGCCTGGACCGCGCCTTCGCCGAGAACCAGTCGATGAAAGCGTTGACCGCCGCCTCCGGCCCCAGATCGACCAGGATCCAGGCCCACCTGACTGCGTCGACGCCGTCCAGGACGGCCAGGAGGGTCCGAGGGGACCACTCCTTCTCCTCCGCCGCTCCAGAGGCCCGCCGCACCGCGTGGGGGTTAATCTCCCCCGACGCTTGGTACGTGCGTCGAGACAGGATCTCGGTGAGAGACACCGGCGTAAGCTAGACGCCGTGTGTTCATGCCAGATCCTGGCCAGCACCTCCTCGGCGCCGAGGAGCGTCTGTGTGGGAAACCGCCGACGGGCGCCGTCCAAGAGGCGACTGTAGGCCTCCACCTGCGTCGCCCACGCCAGGAACGACTTGGGGGGCTTGTCGTCTGGCCTCGCCGACGGGGCCGCCTGTGCGCCGGCCGGCGCCGATGGCGGTGCTGCTGCGGCGTCTGGCAGTGTGCCTCCCACTGACGACGGGCCTCTGTCCACATGTGGGTGACGATGGCGGCGGCGACCTCCTTGTGCTGGTCGTCGAGCTTGTGGTGGGTGCCGTCGACGTCGATGCCGTCGACGAAGGGCTGCAGGAGGATGCGCCGCAGGTCCTCCTGCGTGGCTGCGATCAGCGCCAGCGTCGAGGTCCTGTCCACGCCCCTGGCCCGGAGGTAAGCAACCACCGGCGGAGCAGCGCCGGCCAGGCGGGCCAAGTCGTCGAACGGCAGCAGGCTGGCAGCGGCCGCCGGGATCGCCATGTGTACGACCCGTCGGACAGCTACGGGCGGGCGACGACTCAACAAAAGCTGCAGCGACATGCGAGGTTAGCAGCGACGAGGTGAGGAAAGGGGGGGGGGGGGGGGGGGGGGGGGGGGGACGACTGTGAAGGCGGACTTCGACCTTTTTCCTCGGCGTCGGCGTTGAGATGAACTCAGGGGAAACAAACACTGCAAAGCAGCTCGTGCGCCGGGACAAAGGTCAATTGACCTCTGACGGCGTGCGACGAGGCTGCCCTGCCACATGCAAGGCGTCGCCGATCGTGCACAAACGACGGCGACGACCTGTGGATCCCCACCACGCTACCGCCGGGCGCCGGCGACGCCGGCTGCAGACTGAATGGCCGCCCTCCCGGCCACCTCGGCGCCCACGACGTCGGCGGTGGGGGCCGTGGGTACTCCCACGGAGCCGGCACCAGCGCCGGGCCAGGTGGGTACGGCTCCACTCTGCCAAACCGCCGCGTCGGGCCCCATGGTGAAGGGCGTCGGTGTCGCGCCCACCCCAGCGGCCACGCCAGGGGCCGGCGGCGCCCCCGAAGGGATCGGCGTGGGCGGCGGCGGGCCCGACGGCATCCAGGGCAGGCCGACCGGCCTCCGGGTGGACGACGCCGTATGCCGAGACCACCGCAGCTGGCGCCGGGGGCGGCGGGCCTGCTGCCGCTGGGGCGGCCGCCGGCGGCGCAGGCGGCGAGGCGACGTGGGCGAGGCGTCCGTTGACCCGAGGTCCAGGGAAGCGTCGCTGGCAATGTGCGACTCAGATTCGCCGCCTCCTCGCCGAAGATGTCGTCATCATCGCCGAGCTGCTGCGGCGTGTAGTGCGTCGAGGAGGACGGCACATAGTCCGCAGCGTCGAACGCCGAAGACGCCATGGCAGCAACCGAAAACGACGACGAGAAAGATCACTGAAGTGAGCTGCGTCGACGGGCACAACTTCCCACAAGCGCATGCGCAAGGGAGGGGGGGGGGTTGGCGAAGAGGCAAGCGACGAGTGCGGCCCGACAGGCGCGTCTCTCTTTTTTCTCTGACTAGTCGGCCAAATCGTCGGAGCCGCTACTGGACTCCTGGGACGACGAGGGCTCTGAGTTCGCAGACGGCGACTCCACCTCCTCCGTCGGGGAAGGCGCCTCGAGCGCCGGAGGCCTAAAGCACCTCTTACAACGCCTGGGGTCCGGCGGTTCCGCCGATAGCCGAAAATGGGATCTAACCCCATAGGGCCAGCCGCACCTCGCTTTAAAAAGGAGGGGGTCCTTACTGGACTCATGCGGGTCTGGCCTGTGCAAGCGCCGATTTCGGCGATGCATGATGAAGGTATTCTCCTCCTCGACCGGCGGGATCGCCGACGCCACGTCGGGGGCCTCCAGGAACACGATCCCGGGCAGGTCCGACTGCGGCGAAGGGGGCGCCGCTAACGAAGCGGCCGCGTCCCCGCCCTCCTGCTGGCTCGCCTCGACTGGAGGGCCAGAGGGTCCCTCGTCGTGAGTCAGGTCGACGATCGCCGGCAGCGCCGCGGCAGCACCAGCTGCCAACGCCTGAGCCGGCGCAAGTGGCGCCATGGCCAGCGGCGCCGACTGGGTATACCGAAGTATGGCCCACGACGACCAACGCCCCAGAAGCTGGATCACCGGGAGCGGCACTCCCGCGCCGCCAGGAACGTGGCCCCGGCGACCCGGGCCAGGTGCCCCTGAAACCTGGGGCGCTTCCGGCCCGCCGTGTCGACGAAGAAGCACTCGACGCCCGCCGTGGCCAGGACGCCGGCCGCCGCCTGGAAGAACTCCTTCTTGGAGAAGCCGGCGCCGTCGGGGCCGGGGAAGAGGGCCGTCGGGGCGGTGGCGGCCCGCGCCTCTTAGACGCCGGCAGTGCCTCTCCGCGGCGTGGACGGGGCACAGCGGGTGGACGCGGGCCTCGCAGACGCAGCGAAGGGACCGCCGAGTGAGGTCCCGCTCGCCGCCCTGGGCCACCTTGTGAAGTGGCACGGCGAGGCAGACCTCCCGCTCAGAGAGCTGGATGTCAGACACCCTCGCCGCCACAATCTCAATCTCGCGCAGCATGAACCATGTGGCGACGATGAGGACGTCGACGAAGTGGGCGGGGGCCTCGAAGCGGAAGGCGCCTAGGTCGAGGTGCGCCACTGCTGCGCCGACCGCGTCGAGTGGGAAGGCGTCCTTCAGGTTGGCGCCGGGCAGGCCTCTGGTGGCCGACCTGACGTACCGCCGGATCGCCTTTTTAACGAGCGGCGAGACCGGCGAGGTAAGCCTCCTGGAACCACACAGCGGCGTCGAAGTAGTTTTGCGCCGATCTGTAGGCGCCGGCCTTGAAGGAGGCCGCCAGGCATCTGACGAGTTCCACGTCGATGGGCCATGGTTCCCTGCGGCGAGGCGGCGCCATGTCCTCAGCCTGGACTCGACCGGCCGCCTGGATGAGCTCGCTAGAACGTCAGCGTCGAGGGCGTCGAGGGCCCTCTTCCTGTTCGCCGGCACCGCCGCCTCCAGTGCGGCCGAGAGAGATGCCGACGCCTCGCGGCGACGGACCGGCGCGTCCGGACGGCCTGGCACCACCAAGGGCTCTGGCGCCTGGTCCTGCAGCCGCGGTGGCCGTATCGTCACCAGGATCTCAATGTCCTGCGCCGGAACGCCGGCAGCGAGGAGCGAGCTGGCCGCCGACTGCAGTTCGCCTATGCGGTTGACCCCGCAGCTCGCGATCGTCGGCAGGTGGCGCTGCAGGCCGATCGCCTGGACAGCAGCTGCCAGCTCGCCGAATGATCCGGCGACGACGTCAGCGGCGAGCGCCATGACGCAAGCCGAAAATTCCTAGTAATCTGCCCGCGAGGGACTGAGCCAAGGAACGAAAGAGAGTTCAAACGGAACAAGCAAGGGGGGGGGGGGGTGCAGCACGCGAGTGCAACGACGAAGTGAAACAAAAGAGACCTCTTTTTCCAAGGGATGCGCCGAGGAGATGCGCGCTCAGTTCAGCCGCCGCCACGCCGAAAAGCTGTAGCGCGGCAGGCGACGGAAGATGGCCCCCGACTTCGCGGGGGGGGACAGCGTCGCTCAGGGGCGTCGTGCCTCGAATTCGCGCCGATGCTTCTGGTGCCGAGGGTGATGGCACTCAGCACAAAAATGCGGCGAATGTCGGTCCTCCGGCCCCAAGACGATGGGGCGGAGGCGCCGACCGGCGGGGTCATCGCCGAGGCGACACGCCGGATTGGAGCACCGGTGGGCGCACCAGCCGACGATGAAGCGACCCGCCGAGGCGTGCTCGCCTGGGATGCGTCCGCCCCAGACGCCGGGCGGCAGCGCCGTGAGGACCCAGTAGGGCGCCTCCGCCGCCCTAGGCATGACGGCGCCGTCGGCGGTGGCCTCCTCCCGCCGAACGAGGTCGCCGTACGTCGAGACCAGCAGCTGCGCCAGGTCCGACAAGGGCGCCGGGAGATGCTCCGCCCTGGCGCCGCGACGCTCCACCCTGGCCTTGTAGGCGACGTACGCCTCGCCCTGGGCGGCGACGGCGGCCTCCAGTCTCGCCGCCGCCCGGGCGTTGTCCCGGGTCTCCTGGAGCCGCGACGTGGAGCCTGTCCAGCTCCGGGTCCTGGGGCGGGAGCGGCGGCGGCGGCGCCTTGGCGGGGAAGGTGGAAGGCGCCGGGCAGGTGGAGGGCGCCGGCGTCGACGGCAGCTGGGGGCCATGGAGGGATCGGACGCCAACTCAGCGTCGATCTGGCGCTGGATCTCCTCCAGGCGCGCAGGCGACGTAGCCGGCGGGCAGGCTTCGCCGGGGCGTGCCGGCCGAGGCACGGTGGCGAAGCCCTCCTGGCCCAGCTCGACCCGCCGGTGCTGCAGCCACGCCGCCGCCGATGAGAAGCCGAAGTCCGCCGCCAAGGCCGCCTCAGCCGCGTTGGGGAATGCGACTGGCGCCGGGGGTGGCGGCAACGGCGGCGACTTGTAGGGCGACGACTTCGCCTTGGCAGGTGCCTGCGCCGCCGCCGTGCTCGATCCCGTAGGCGCCGCCGTGGTGATCAGGTCGTTGGAGGCGTCGGGGGTCGGCTCCGGGGCGACGACGACGGGCTCCACGATGTCCTGCGCGGCGTCGGTGTTCTGGGTCGACGGGAGGTCGCCGGATATCACCGCGGTCACCGGCTCGTCGATGGCGTCCTGGCGACGTTGGGAGCGACGACCTCCTCGGAGTCGTCGTCCATGGCCGCCCGGTTGGGGGGCACGCCGCCAGCCGACGACAATGGCGGGCCGTAGGACACCGGCTGGCCCACCGGCGGAATGTCCGTCGTGCCCTCAGGCTCCGGCTCGACGACGGATGGGGCGTCGCCAGACACGGAAGGACCGGGTCCGGCGCCGTCGTCGGCTCGGCCACAACCGGAGCTGGCGTCGGTGTGGCCGGGGTTGGCGCAAGCGTCGGTGCCGATGCCGCCGCAGCCGCCGAGGACGTCGTAGACGAAGATGAGCTGCTCGCCGCCGCCAGCTGCTGAATGACTGCCGCCGCCTCAGCCCCCCCCAGGTCGCGGATGTAGGCAGCGACGAGGTGCGGCGGGAGGGGGCTAGTCCTCGTCTGGTGGACGAGGGTCGCGTGCGCCGCGACGATGCGCTCGCGACAAGGCAGCGGCAGCGCCGACACCAAATCCATCGCCGAGGCAGCGTCGCGGAGGACCTCCTCCAAGATCTCGGCGAGGACGGCGATGTCGACGTTGTGTGAGGACATGGCGACGAAAGTCTACACACAACGGCAGCTGAAATCAGGCGGCTTGCGACGAACGGCTGCGTCGTTCGTCGCATGCTTGTCCTAACGCACATGAATAGTGCTACACAACAATGACCCTGAAATGCTGAAAGCCTGCACTGGTGGAGGACCCTTGGTCCTGGAAAGCCCTTGAACGCTCAAGCCCCAAATATCCCGAAGCTCGCAACCCCCGTAGCCCTAAACTCTAACAACCTAACCCAAAAACCCTTAACCCTAAAGCGGTTTAGGGTTTTGGGTTTTGGGGTTTGGGGCTTGGGGTTTCCTAAAGCCTAAGTCGCCCTAAGCCCTAAACCCTGTAGCCCTAAACCCGAAACCTTGCACCCCCAACCCCCCCACCCCAAAGAGTAAAACTGCAGGGTCTCAGGAAGCTGGGAGCCAGCACCTCGCAAGGAACGCAGGCCGAATCCAACTCCGCCCACCTCGCGCAACGGGAAGGAGGGTGCGCGCGGGGGGGGGGGGGGGGCGGTGTTTCCCTAAACCCTAAACCCTAAACCCTAAATCCTAAATCCTAAACCCTAAACCCTAAACCCTAAACCCTAAACCCTAAAGCCTAACCCCTAAACCCCTAAACCCCTAAACCCCTAAACCCCTAAACCCCTAAACCCCTAAACCCCTAAACCCCTAAACCCCAAACCAAAACCCCAAACCGGGTTTGGTTGGTTTGGGGATGTTTGGGGTTCTGTCTTCGGGGTCTTGGGGGCTCAGGGCTTTCTAGAGCTCTCATTTGGAGCCTATAAGGCTTAGGGTTTAGGGTTTAGGGTTTAGGGTTTAGGGTTCAGGGTTCAGGGTTCAGGGTTCAGGGTTGAAGGCTACAAAAAGCAAGGCGCGGAAAACCCGGCCGAGACTTGGACTGAACTGATGAAGATCAGGTCCCATCTGGGGGGGGTCTCTTTTTCAGCATACTCCTTCCACTTGTGGGTACCCGGTTGGGCCCAGAGTTTGTTTTAAACCCCCATCTTCAAAACCCTAACCCGAAACCCCAAACCCTAAACCCTAACCCCAAACCCTACACCCTCAACCTTCCCCCCCTCTCACTCCCGGCCTCCACCCGTGAGGGCAAGTGGCGCAAACCTGCTCCAGGGAGCGTTTTTTGAGGCTCAGCATGTTCGTGTCTCCAACTCCAAAACTCCAGACCCGGACGACACCCCCCGAAGCCGGACCGGAAACTCTAGATCCCAAACCCGAAAATCCGAAAACCGAACCCTCAAACTTCCTACGTCCGTGGGCTCAGCGCCGGTCAGTTGCATCAGAAATTTGGTGGACTCCATCCCGGAGCCCCGTCGAATCTCAAATCTCTGTACCCTAGAGGCTTTCTCTGAGGCGACTTGGGCTTAGGGTTTAGGGAAAAGGGTTTAGGGTTTAGGGCCCACACTTTAGCGGTCTAGGTGTTATCGTGCTTGGGGTTGAAGTTGAAAGAACAGGGCTTCGGGGCTTAGGGGCCTAGGGGCTTACGCGAGCGCATTTCGCGCGGCCAATCTTTGCGGAGCCCTTCTCGGCATCCAGGGGTCGCAGGTGCTTCCAGTTCAAGTCCCAACCTCGGCAATATACTCATTACAACCTTATTTCGGGGACATATAACCCTACTTATAAGTACCCATTTGAACCTTCCAGTAGTTTGTGTCCACTGCTTTGGAGCTTGCCGACGAGCGAAAGAGATCCCACGGAAGGAAGCGCGGGGAATAATCTGGCACGGCTCTGCCCTGTGCGCTGCCGAACCCTGGTCGGATGGCTGGTCCAATTCACTCCTCAGCATCGACTTTAGGGCTTAGGGCCACATGCCACCACCCGCTGGAGCCCTGGGCACCATCGCTGTGAGCTGATTTGAGGAGTCCTGATGGTCCTTCTCCTTGTGCACCAGGTCGCAAACAATCAATGCGGGACATGTTCAATTCTTGGGATGTCATTGGATGATGACCTTTTCATTCTTACAGCCCTTCACTGCAGCGGTGGTGTTCGATCCGGGCCCTTGAGATTTCCTGGCCGACGTGGGCCTCTGTTTTCTGATACGAGCAGCCCGCCCTAAAACCCACCCTAAGAAGCCCCCAAACCCTAGCCCCGACAAGCACTCAATCCCTTGAGCCCTAAACCCTAAACCAAGACCACCCCGAAACTTGGAAAAAGCCCCAAAAGAACCCAAAAAGCCAGCCCTGCAAACCCTAAACCCTCCGAACTCCCCAGCCGCCATCCTCGGCTGCGACGCGGCCCCCCGTGCAGCGAGCCGGGGCGCCCCCGGGACAGTGAGAGGCCTGTCCTGAGTTGAGGGAGTTGGGTTGGGATGTTCCCCCTTCCTTCTTTCTGTCCTTAATGGAGATAAAAATACCCCCTATTATCCCGATTAAGGACTGTCAGTATAAGCCCCAAGTTTTGGGGTTTGTTTGGGGGGTTCGTGTTTTGGAGCTTTGATTTTTGGTAGGGTTTTGGGGTTCAGGGTAGTGCCGGCCTGGTGTTGCGTCTGCTAGTGTTCTGCGTTCGAACTCCATAACCCAAAAGCCCTAGAGACCCTGAACTCCCCAGCAGCTTAGGTCATGAAAGTAAGGCGAGATCTCGGAGTGCCCTGCCCGCACACAAAGCACAACCCTAATTACTGCTCCACCCACGCCTAAACCCAAGTACGGCTCTAACTCAAAGCAACACATAGGCCCAGCATCCACATCTGAAGATGCTGAGGTCCGCCGCGTCCTTGGCCAGGCAGCAGAAGGCGCGCGCTTAGACCCCACTAGTTCTTACAATCAGGAATGAGAGAAAGAGGCACCTGATATACCCTTATAAGATCTCTTTGAGGCGCCCCCCTAAACGGTCCAATGGCCTGTTCTCCTCACACACCCTACCGAAGGGCTTCTAGGGGGTTGGGGGGTCAGGGTTCAGAGGTTTAGGGGTTTTTCCGGGGGATACCGGGCTGCTTAGGGGGCGTCAGCTTTTTGTCTTTAGGGCTGCAAGGAGTTCAGGGCTTAGGGTTCAGGGTTAAGGGTGTGGGGCTGCGCGTGTAGATGTTTGGCCCTGTTTGGCCCCCTTTTTGTGGCCGGCCCTTCGGGGGCCTGGTGCAGCCCCG